CACCCTGCACTGCTGCAGCCTGGCATGCTCTGGGCTCCCAGCTCAGCAGCACCTGCCCAAGGCTTCCATTATTCTTTCCTGATCATATTCCAGCTGTGGGGATGTTTGTTCCTTGTGTCAATACAGGAATAGGGGGCTCAGGTTGTTCATCTCTGATCAACTCATCTCCCTCAAGCTCCCTTTGAAAACAGGGTCAGAATCTCACGGAAGGGGCAGCAAAAGTCAGTTTGTGGGAAAGGATTTCAAAAGGCCGTGGAAGATGTTGGCAGGTCAGGCTTGTCTCACAATTCCAGAAAACCAAATACCTGCAATAAATGAAAGGTTCAGGTCCCAAATTCCATCATGAAAGCTATGGGGAAAAGGCAGCAGAGAAAACTGTGCATAAAAGATGAAGTCCCATTCCTAATTTACAGGAGCTTCCCTCACAGGACAGGGACTCTGTTTTTAGGGCTGCTGGTGCAGGATGGGGACGAGGAGCCCAGCCTGGCTGCTCAGGGTGAGGCTGTGCCTGCTGCAGCTCCTGAGCTGCCACAACCCTTCCTTGGGGTGCCAGCAAACACCTGCCCCGTGCCCTGTCCCTCTGGCAGTTCAACCCAGCTTTTCTGGAAGCTGTAAAGCGCTTTTCCATCACCTTCCTGCCCAGCCAAGTGTCACCCAGCTGCTTTTCAACCCACCACCTTCCTGCCCAGCCAGCTCTCTCCCCAGCTGCTGTTTGTGTGCTGCCACAGGACAACACCATTGATTTCCTGGAGTATGTGGCTGCCTTGAATCTGGTTTTGCGGGGGAAGCTGGAGCACAAGCTGAGGTGGACGTTCAAAGTGTATGACAAGGATGGCAACGGCTGCATAGACAAACCTGAGCTGCTGGAAATCGTTGAGGTAAGAGGGCATTGCCCAATCCCTTCTTTCAGCAATCCCTGCTCTTTGGCAACGTCCTGAGGTGGATGGGGTTTGTGCAATCAGGTTTTGAGGATGCTGTGGGGCTGAGCAGGCAGCCAGGCACGAGTCCCTGTGCTCCTGCCTGAGGTGAGGCTCTGCTTATCCCCCACCTGAGCATCCCAGAGCAGAGCAGTGCCAGGCAGTGCCCTCCCTGCGGGCAGCAGGGTCCTGGCCAGGAAGGTGAGCAGATGGTCACCTGCAGCAGCAGCAGGTGTGAAAGCAGGGCAGCCTGTCTGGGCCACCTCCCATCACAGTTTTGAGGTCAGCCAGGAGCTGCCCGGAACCGTGAGGCCGCTGCTAATCCTCTCTCTGGGAAGACTTGAGACAAAAGCCTTCAACCTGAGCAGGAAAGGGAGCCAGGGGCAGGTGGAGCCACGGGAGCAGCAGGTAAAGTCTGACCCTCTCCTGTGGCAAAGGGGAGCAGAAACTGGGTCAAAATATGAGCTTGATGTGCAGCCTGGACACAGCTGCCAGGGCTGGTCACTCCAGCCTGCCTGGCTTGGAGGTCAGCACAAACTCACACTCGAGGCCTGTGATTCTTCCCATGAGTGAAACTCTGCTCTGCTCTCTGCAAAGCTGCCCTGAGGTCTGACCAGAGCGTGCAAGGAGAGCAGGAGGGCAGCAGCTTCACAGAGCAAAGGAGGTCATTAATGTGCAGCCAGGGCAGGCACGAAGCTCACTGCTGAGGGGCAGATCTTTCCAGAAGGGTTAAAGCCCCAGCCTTTGAAAGAGACCTTCACAGCCATGGGGTGCCAGCTGAGTTCAGTGCTTTTCATCTCCCAGTCCTTGTCCTCATTTGGGAGCTCCTTTCAGTCTATCTACAGGCTGAAGAAGGTGTGCTGGTCGGAGGTGGAGGACAGGACCCCGCTGCTGACACCGGAGGAGGTGGTGGACAGGATATTTCAGCTGGTGGATGAGAACGGGGATGGTGAGTGAAGCACAGGCTGCGTTCCTGCCTGCTGAGAGCTCACCTGAGCTGGGCTGCCTGGCCACAGATCCCTTGGCTGCGTTGTGTTCCTCACAATGGGCAGCTGGGCTTGGTTCTGCTCTGTCCCACTGAGCCAAAAGTGCTTGGTGGAGCAGGGTGAAATCTTTGTCGTTGTTATTTTAATTAAAACATTGAGGAGTCACTGCTGGGGCAGTTTGGGAGCCTCTCAGATCCCATCCTCTGACAGCCCCAGCAGGCAGAGGGCAGGTCCCAGTCCCAGCACAAGGGTGAAGACACTGCTTCCAGTCAGACTGGGACCTGCAGGACCTGGCCAGGTCCTGGCAGGGCTGGGTGAGCCCCTGAGTGTCCCGTGGGGATAGGGCAGGGGGCAACGCTGCCTCACAGCCCCTGGCTTGTCTGACCACAGGGCTGGGGGATCCCCTGAGATGGTGTGTGGTTAGCGTTTGATCTGACATATGGGGGATCCTGCCTCCTCTGCCTCCTCCTCCTCCTCCTCTCTGACCTGCCGTGCCCTGCTCTCGCCACAGGGCAGCTGTCCCTCGATGAGTTCATCGATGGAGCCAGGAAGGACAAGTGGGTGATGAAGATGTTGCAAATGGATGTGAACCCCGGGGGATGGATCATTGAGCAGAGGAGGAAGAGTGCTTTGTTCTGAGAGAACGGCTCTGACGATGCTGAGTCCCGAGCGTGACCCTTCCTCTAGCCTGGTAACGACTTTCCTTTTTAATTCCACCTCAGCATCCTGATGGAAACCTGAGTGGTTGAAGGAGCCGCCTCTGATGTAAACCCCACGTGCTGAGCACCGCTGGTACCCAGGGACTGTTTGTGGCCCATGAATAACTCTTGCTGTGCACACAGTTCTGTGTTTGCCAGCTCTGCTTTTTGGTTACACCCCAAGGAACAAACTTCTGGTGGCTTCCTGCAGCGGATCTGAGCAGGGTTTGGGCTGGGCAGTGAGGGATGGAGCCGGGGGTTCTGTCTCAGTGCAGACTGGTGCTGGCACGGCTCACTCCTGCCCTTACAGCACCTCAGAGCAGCACAGGATGGCTGCTGGATGCTCAGGGGATCTCTGGGTGTGTTTTGTAGCCTTCCCTGCTGCTGGTGTCCAACATAAAACCACCAGAAGTGAGAACTGGATGGGAGCAGTGGCCAGGACAGCACACAGAGCTGAGGGAAACATCCTCAGGGCTGGGCAGGAGCAGCAGCAGCTCCTTCCTCCCCCTCTGGGGACCCGAGGCTGCTCCTCCTGCCTGCCCCGAGGCCCGGGGGCTGGGAGATGCTGGCTGCAAACGCTGGCATTGCCCAGCCCCGCTCAGAGCACAGGTGTGACCTTCACAGCCCCTGATTCTCAGGAATCCTCCCTCTGGAACAGCTTTTCCTGCCCTGGGAAGAGTGGGTGAGCCCAGGAGCTCCAGGGTTTTCACTGCCCTGGGGAAAGCCTGGTGTGGGAGCAGGGAAGAGCAGAGTTGTGCTTGGCAGTGTCTCTGCAATGGGAGGATTTGTGCTGCTCCTCTGGCAGGACCAGAACCAGAACCATGGATGGTTTGGGTTGGGAAGAACCTTAAAACTTCTCAGTTTCCAAGCCCCCTGCCCTGGGCAGGGATGCCACATCAGATTGCTCCGAGCCCTGTCCAAACTGGCCTTGAAAAGTGGAAAAAGTGACAAAAATTCCAGTACAGTGGTTTTACACTGGACTTAATTTAGCCCCAGACTAAAGATACAGAATTTATACAAGTTGCAGGCTGGGCTCTGCTGTTCTAACCCGTGTTTCTACATAGATGTATGTGGGAAAAAGAGTTTGGGCTGAATTTTGGTTCAACTTTATTGGATTTACTGCTTCATTCCAAAGAAGAAAACCCCCCAGGAAAATAACATGAGCTTGTCTGTTCCATTTTAACTTTCCTATGGGATCAGTGGGCCAGGTCATACCAATGAAAAGATTTACAACCCCTTTTCTTGTGGCCTTTAATTAGGACTGCAGTAGCTGTCATTAGCTGATTAGTGTGCTGGTTTGTGGTCTTGTCAGTTTTCCCAGTGTTTAAACTCCAGGGGGAAGTGCTCAGGATTAGACACAATCAGTGCTGGAGTTCAGATGGTGCACATTTCCACTTGGAAATAGCCTTTCTATGAGTTCTCTGCAAACACTGAGCAGTTTGTGGCGTGCTGACTTACCAGAGCTGATTAGGCTTGTGCCTTCTGCTGCTCTGAGGCAGCTGGGCAAAGCTCTCTCTGCTCAATAGTTTATCAGCTCCAGATCTGAAAGAAAAATCTGACTTCTGACTTGACAGCCTGGATGAAAACATTCACATTTATTGGTTTTCCAGCTTGTGAAAAGATGTTTTCATTGGAGGGTACAAATCTCTAAGAATTCATTTCAGCATCTCAACCCAGGTAACACCCCCTGCTGCTTGCACGGATTTAGAGAGGCTGTTTAGCTCACAGAATTGCATTTTGCTGCTTCACTGAAATGCTTCAAACGCTCCAGTTCTGCTCACCAGGTCAGCCCAGGCTCTGCAGGGGCTCTTTGGGCCAGCAGCCCTGCCCTGGTGAGCGCTTGTACAGATGTTGGTAGGAGTTTTGTAAAACACGACTTGAATAAAGAAATATTTATTAAAACCTTTGTTTCCTAGTATCTGTTTGTTAATGAGGTGAAGAGCTGTGTGAGACCTGGCTGAAACTGTAGCCTGTGAGTGTGATCTGTTGAATTTAGGGGAGGAGCTGGCGGAGCAGCCGGGTAAGACAGAGATAAGGAGGGATGACGGCGCTGTTGCAGTAGGGAAGGAGCCTCTTGTGTTTAACTTCCGTGTGATGACAGCAAAAACCGTGAGTGTAATAAAAAAAAAAAGTTTCTCAAGAGAGCTGGAAGCAGGAGTTTAAAATGAAGTGAGTGAGTGCTGCAGTCAGGTGCCCCCGGTGAAAGCCAGGCAGGACTGGAGCAGCACAGGGCTGCAGGGCTCCAGACCAGGGCTGGGATGGAGGTGCAGGGGCTGTGTCTGTGTCACAGCTGGCAGAAGCCATGGAAAACTGTTCCTCTTATCAATTGTGTAATCTTTGGTCGAGAAATGGCAAGGTGCTTTGGCCCCAGCGCTATTTTAAAGCCCTGATCTCTGGCGGCTCGTTCAGCGCTCACAGCAGGCTCTTGATGTCAGCGCTTGCACAATCCCTCTGCCAGACTTAGGGCCCAGCTCCAATTGGATTGGACTGATCGGATTTCTTTCTGCTCTAAACTGGGAAGCAGGGTGGCTCGCAAAAGGCAAATGCCACCTGACTTTTCTGGGCTGCCATCTGCTCCGTGCCCTGCAGTCGGGCAGGACCGAAGGTGAATAACCAGGCTGGAAAGCTGGGGCTGTGGTGGGAGGGAAGGGGCAACAGGAGCCCTCTTTAGGGGGCATCACCTCCTAAAATACCCCGGGAGAGGCATCCCAGGGGAAAGGCTGAGCAGCAGGGATGCGAGGAGAGAGGATCCCTGCCCGGCTCTGTGCTCAGCCCTGCCCCGAGCGCAGCCGAGCTTTGGGCAGGGTCCCCAGTCCCAGGTCACTCCCGAAGCACCTGTGGGCAGGTTCCCTTCGAAAATGTCCTGGGCAAAGCCAGAGTGACCTCCTGAGCCCCGCGCCGGTCACTGCAGGCACTGCCTGTGCTCTCCGTGCTTTTCTTACAGCGCCTGTGCTCAGCTGTGCCACGCCAAAATTCCTTTCCTTTCTTTCCTCCCTTTCTTTCTTTCCCTCCCTTTCCTTTCCTTCCTCCCTTTCCTTCTTTCCCTCCCTTTCCTTTCTTTCCTCCCTTTCCTTCTTTCCCTCCCTTTCCTTTCTTTCCTCCCTTTCCTTCTTTCCCTCCCTTTCCTTCTTTCCCTCCCTTTCCTTCTTTCCCTCCCTTTCCTTTCTTTCTTCCCTTTCCTTCTTTCCCTGCCTTTCCTTCTTTCCCTCCCTTTCCTCCTTTATTTTCCTTCCTTTCTTCCCTTCCTGCTTTCTTGCCTGCCATTCCTTTCTTTTTTTTCCCCCCTTTTCTTTCTTTCCTTGCTGTCCTGTCCTTTTCCTTTCCTTCCTTGTATTTCTTTATTTTATCCAAGTTAAGCTCACCTCAGAAGCCTAGAAAGTGTCTCAAGCGCATCACCCTTAAAGCCCCTGCACTCGAGGATGTTCGGGGGTCCGAGCTGCACCGGGGCAGCCGAAAGGGGAAAGGGGCCGGGGAGAGTGGCTGAGAACGGCTGCGGTGGCCTGTCCTCGCCCCTCGCCCCTCGCACCGGCCACACGGGGCTGGGCTTGGGGTCCCGGGGCTGTTTTGGGTCCCGGGGCTGTTTTGGGTCCCGGGGCTGTTTTGGGGGTTCTCTCGGGTTTGGGGTCCTGGGGCTGTTTTGGGTCCCGGGGCTGTTTTGGGTCCCGGGGCTGGTTTGGGGGTTCGGGCTGTTTTGGGTCCCGGGGCTGTTTTGGGGGTTCTGTCGAGTTTGGGGTCCCGGGGCTGGTCTGGGTGATTCTCTTGGATTTGGGGTCCCGGAGGTGTTTTGGGGTCCCGGGGCTGGTCTGGGGGATTCGCTGGGGTTGGGGCCCTGGGGCTCGTTTTGGGGGTTCTCTCGGGTTTGGGGTCCCGGGGCCGTTTTGGGTGTTCTCTCGGGTTTGGGGTCCTGGGGCTGGTTTGGGGTGCCGGGGCTGTTTTGGGGTCCCGGGGCCGGTTTGGGGGCTCTCTCGGGTTTGGGGTGCCGGGGCCGGTTTGGGGGTTCTCTCGGGTTGGGGTCCCGGGGCCGGTCCCGGCGCGTTCCCGCTGCTCCCGGAGGCGCCGGCAGAGAGCGCTGCGGGATGGGGACACGGCGGGAGCGGGGGGGTCCCAAAAACCGGGATGGGAACGGGGTGGGATAATGGGATGGGATGGGATGGGGACAGGGATGGGGACAGGGATGGGATCCATGGGATGGGGACAGGAATAGGACAGGGATGGGATCCATGGGATGGGGACAGGAATAGGACAGGGATGGGATCCATGGAATGGGGACAGGAATAGGACAGGGATGGGATCCATGGGATGGGGACAGGGCTGGCACAGGGACGGCCCTTTTAGAACAATTTTGGCTGTGCATGCAGAGATCTGGCTGCTCCAAGCTGCTTCCTGCTGCCCCCCGGTGCAGGGGGAGGCTCGGGGAGGCTCGGGCGGGGCTGATGGAGTCTGTGCCCAGGGAGGTGCTCAGAAAGCCCACGCTGAGCTGAGCCCAGCTCCCTCCCCGCTGCTGCAGGGCCAAAGGGCTCCGAGCTTTGTGCTGTCATCTCTGGGGGAGCTGGTTTTGCTGCAAGAGGCAGAGTTACACTGTGAGTAAACAGCTCAGCCCCCTCTCCCCAGGGCTTGCAGCTGCTCCCCTCCCTCTTGCAGGGCTGTGGGTGCACAAATTGGCCACCAAGGGCTCCTGTGCTGGGCTTTGGGAGCCCGAGAAGAGCCCCAGAGCAGCTGTTCCTGCACTGTGTGAGCCACTACATCTGTCCTGCTGCAAACGCAAGGATTGACTGCAAGAGACAAGATGCACAACCTGAAATGATGCTGTAAAACATCTTTATTAGCTCACCGTAGGACTGGAAGGACAAAAGCTTCCAGGTAGAACTCTGTCCAATGAAAAAGACTCACAGGAAAAATGGTCAGGAAGCTGTTTATGAACTGCAAACACCCAGTGCTAAACAACAAAACTCCCAGCTGGGCAAGAAGCCCTTCCTGGTGTCCTGTGCTGCCTCACCACGCCTGGGAGTGAGGAGCCCCTGCAGGAGCAGCTGGGGCACAGCTGGGGCACAGCTGGGGCTGTTGGGGGCTCAGGGGGCTGCCCAGGGCTGGCCTCGGGCACTGCCCTGAGCTGGTCTCACCCTCTGGAGCAGCTCCCCCTCCAGCACCCACACACACAAGGGGTCAAAGCCTCCTGGTGCTCCTGGCCAGGTGGGGACACAGCAGGAACGGTCCTGCAGCTCCTCTCGGGTTACTGCGTTGCTGATTGTGCTCATCTGGAAGCACTTCCTTCCTTCCTGATGCTTCAGGGAGAAACATTTCCTTACAGTCCAGGAGGTTGTTAAGAAAAGGCACCATTCAGTGTTTTGAATGCTTTGAAACAAAGCCACTGCAAACACCCCTCCTCTTTTGCCAGCTCATAAATGTTTTAACTCACGTTATCACTATCACTGCTGACCAAATGATAACCAGTGAAGGAAGGAGTGACCAGAACTGGTGACTGCATGCTCTGGAAATACAAATGGAAGGAGAAGGTTCAGATCTGCTTTTCCAGGACCCCTCTCACCGGGGCCCAGTCCTGGGCAGCCCCTGTTGGACCCCGCTGGGGGGGTGTTGGCCAGGCCTCGATGGCAGTTTTGGGGTGTTCTCAGGGAGTTCTTGGCCTGCACAGCCTCGTGCTGCTCCCCTGCCCAGGGAGCTCTGGCTGTCCCCTCTCTGAGCTCGGCAGCAGCAGCGTCCAGAGGCCCCGAGGCCATGCCAGGTCCATGTGGGACAGCCCAGCTCTGCAGCCTCCCTGCCGAGGCCTGTCCTCCCGCTGCCCGCGGTGTCACAGCGCTGTCCCTGCGCCGAGGGGACAGCTCTGCCAGCGGGGAGTGCAGCCCCGCGGCTGATCCCGGCTGGCAGTGCCAGGGGAGGCCAAGGGAAAGCGTCCCGGGAGCTACTGGGCAGCCTGGGCGTCCTGCCCGGCCTCGTGGGGGTTCTTGCCGTCGTTCTGGATCAGCCTGACGATGTGGGTCAGGTCCAGGCTGCGGGTGAGGATGTCCAGCAGCATCTCGTCCTTCTGCACGCCCTCCATGAACTCCTCCAGGGACAGCTCGCCTGCGGGGCACCGAGCTCTGTTAAACCCCACAGCCCTGCTGCTCCCTGCTCCCCCAGCACCGGCACAGACCCCGAAATGGGGGCTCAGCACCAGACATTGTGCCCCAAAGCCCACCGCAGAGCCCCCCTGGCGGGGCTGAGGGCAGCGTGCCCCGGGCAGCCCGGAGGGGACGGGGTCCCTCTGCCAGCTCTGCCGTCCTGCTGCTCAGGGACACTGCTCTGGGGGCAGGCAGGGAGGGCAGGGCAGGGGCACTGCCCGGGGAAGGCCTCACCGTCTCCATTGATGTCGATTTTGTTGAACACCATGTCCGTGAACTCCTCCGCCGTCATCTTCTCGTTGCAGCGGTTGATGGAGCGGATGGCCTGGGGGCAGCGAGGGGCACAGGGGTCACCGAGGGCTCTGCACGTGGCTGTGCCCATCACAACAAGCAGCCAAATGAGCAGACACAAAAGGCCAAACGCTTTTTCAGGGCTAAAACTTGTTTTCAGGCAGTTAGGCTTCGCGAGGAATAAGTCCTGTCTAAAAGGCTGGAGATTAAAATCACCTAAAAGGGCCATCAATGCTTTACAAGATTTAGTGGGCACGCTGGGATAAGCCAGAAGCCATTCACCTCTGAAAACCCTTAGATTAAATTCAAGTGCTTATCTCAGCCCCGCTTTCAGTGCAAGCTGCCAGGGGAGGACGAGGGGTGCTGGGTGTCCGAGGGGGTGGGAGCAGAGCTGGGGGCGCCGGCAGAGCTCAGCAGCAGCTCTGGGCAGGGGCTGCTAGCTGACCACGGGCTGCAAGCTCCCCTTCCAGCCTCCCTGCAGCTGCAGGAAGGGAGGGCTGGCCCCACTCACTTTGATGATGTTCAGCAGCTCAGCCCGGTCGATGCAGCCATTGCCGTCCACATCGTAGAGCTTGAAATACCACCTGAGCTTCTGGTCCACCTTCCCCTTCAGCACCAGGCTCAGCGCTGCCACGTATTCCATGAAGTCTATGTAGCCATCCTAAGAGCACAAGGTTGGAAGCTCAGGTGAGATTAAAAGCAGGCAATGAAGGATTATTTTAGTCATTTCTGAAGTTCCCCCCAGAACTGGTCCCTCCACCCCGAGACCAGGGGCTCGTGGAGTGGTGGAAGCCAAGGTTCCTCCTGAATCTGGGCAGAAATGCTGTAGAATGATGGAATTATCAAATCATAAAGGCTGGGAAAGGCCTCCAAGGTCAGCAAGTCCAGCCTTGGACCGTTAGAGGTCGGGAAGGCAGGGCCCGGCTGGGTGGATCTCCTGGGGACTGGGAGCTGGCCTGTGCTCAGGCAATTAACACACCAGGAGTTAATTACCAGCCCAAAGCAGCGGGAATTCAGAGGTCAGAGAGGTTTGTGCAGATGAACCCTGATAAATTCCCCAGCCTCATCCAGCCACAGCTCCTTTCTGCTGCCAGGGTCTCATTTCCAGGAGAGGAGCGCATTCATGCCGCTGACATCTCAGGCTGGGCAGGTGTTTCTCTGTCCCTGGGCCATTTCTGTACCCACATTTGGAGCACAAACACTTTTATCTCTGACTTTCCTGCCGGTGTTTGCCCGCCCCAGCTCGTGCCACGGTTTGAGGTGTCCACCCAGGATGGTGGCACGGCTGCCAGGCTGCTGGCCCGGGCTCACAGCCACCAGACACTGCCAGTGACACTCACGGCTTCCAGGAGGGTGTTAAAAATGCCTCCTGCCCAGCACAGAGCGTTCCCGTGGCGTTTGAAGGGATGCCCTTGCTGTGGTTTGTGGCACTTCCCTGGAAGTGGCACTGGGGACACGGCTCGTGGTGAGCCCGCCAGAGCTGGGGGGGCAGCTGGGTTCAGGGATCTTGGGGGGGCCTTTCCAAGCCCAAGAATTCCAAAAAATTCCCAAAACATTCCCAAAATTTTTATCTATCTAACAGTTTCATCCTGAACTTAAACATACCTAAAAATCCCCCCCAAAAAATCACTAGAAAATTCAAAACAAATGCTAAAAATCATCCCAAAATTCCCCAAAATGAAAAAAAAAAAAATCCCCAAAAATTCCAGAAATCTTTCCTATCCCACAGTTTCATCCTGACTGAAAACCTGCCCAAAAAAATCCCAAAAAATTCGATTCCATGCTTCCCACTCCAGACCTCAGCAGAGCCTAAGCCAGGGCTCTGTCAATGACCAAAGGCACTGCCAGAGCTCATCTGCTTTACCCACTGCTGCAGGAGCCAGATTAGGGACAAATAACTGCTAAACCCCGCTGCCAGCAGGATTTCCTGCACATCAATTCCCTTTCCAGGCTAGCTTTCAAACACAGCAGTGAGCAAGGGAAAGGCCAAGGCATAAACCAAACACCTGAAGGATTTAGGGCCTGATTTGCATTTTTGTCAATGGGATTAATGCCACTAAGCCCTTTGGGTTGCCATAAAATGGATTCCTCATCTCACAGGAGGTGCAATTTCAGGTCATTTGCAAGCAGAGGAGGATGCAGTTTCCTGTTGGAACGCAGCATCCATCTGCTTCCCAAAAATCTGCTCTGGGACTGCATTCCCAAAAATCTGCTCCGGGACTGCATTCCCAAAAATCTTCTCTGGGACTGCATTCCCAAAAATCCCTGCTCTGGACTGCATTCCCAAATCCCTGCCCTGGACTGCATTCCCAAATCCCCCTCTGGACTGCATTCCCAAATCCCTGCTCTGGACTGCATTCCCAAATCCCTGCTCTGGAGTGCATTCCCGAATCCCCCTCTGGACTGCATTCACAAATCCCCCTCCGGAGTGCATTCCCAAATCCCCCTCTGGAGTGCATTCCCAAATCTCTGCTCCAGAACTGCATTCCCAAATCCCCCTCTGGACTGCATTCCCGAATCCCCCTCCGGAGTGCATTCCCAAATCCCCCTCTGGAGAGCATTCCCAAATCCCTGCTCTGGAATGCATTCCCGAATCCCCCTCCGGAGTGCATTCCCAAATCCCCCTCTGGAGTGCATTCCCAAATCCCCCTCTGGACTGCATTCCCAAATCCCCCTCCGGAGTGCATTCCCGAATCCCCCTCCGGACTGCATTCCCAAGTCCCCAGGCTGCCCAGGGCAGCCCCAGTCCCGTGTCCCACGGAAGGAAGCCGTGCCGGCGCGATCCCTGCGCAGTTTCACACCCGAGCAGCCCCAGCCCGTGCTGGGGGCTCCTGTCCCCGCACGAACGCAGCCCTTGTCCCCACGGTGCTTCAGGACTGAAGGGCACTTCGTTTTAAAGGGATCAGAGAGTGCCAGGCAAAGAAGGAAAACATCAGTCCTGGGAGAAGCCGCTGCATCCCTGCAGGGCAGGCAGAGGCTGAGGAGCTCTGGCTGGCATTTTTCTCCTTCCAGAACGGATCCTGCAGTGTCTGGGGCTGCACTGGACGAGGCTGCACCTTCGCGGGGCAGTTCCTGCCTCCCACCCAGCCCAGCAGAGCAGAGCCCAGCCCTGCACGGCCCAGGGGGAAGGACAATATTTACCTTATTAAAGTCAAACGTCTCAAACATTTGCTCAACGTATTTGTTCGCCGCCGGACTCAGGTTCTTCAAGCCAAAAAACTGCTTGAACTCGTAGAGGGTGAGCTGGCCTGAAGGACACTCTGTCATGAACTTCTTGTACCACTGGTGGCACTCGGTGGTGCTCAGCTCCTCCACGGCTTTCCCGTCCATGTTCCCCATCTCCACACCAACTGCTGGTCCCTTTGCTGCCAAAAACTGAGGGTTTGTGAAATTCAGGGGGGAAAAAAAAAATAAAAATCTGACGGTTCTGCCTTCAAAGCCCAGGCATCCCCTGCAGTGCAGGGTCAGGGCATCAGGAAATCCCTGGTGCTGTACAGATCCCAGCAGGGATGGACACAGGACGCTCGTCTTCCTGGCAAAACCCAAAAGCACAAAACCCTCTTTGGATGGGAAGGTGACTTTTAAGTACCCAGCAAATCCCTCCACAGCCAATGAGGCTCGGAGGGGTGGTGGGCTCCTGCCAGGCATTAGGAGTTCAGGTTAAAATAGAAAAGAGGTAAAATGGGGAAGTCTTGCAGATTACAGGCCCAGCAGGAGATTAGGAGGGTGGAATTTTCTCTGTGATGAGCTAATCTCTTAATCCACTTCATTTATCACTTAAGGGGGGGGGGGGCTGGTGTCACAAGAGCAACAACTTTTGGACCAAAACCAGAGTAAGAAAAATGAGAGGAAACCACTCTGAATCCTCTGTGCTGTTTCTGCTTTTTGCTTCCCCTTCACCTCAGAGGATTCCAGAGGGGCTCTAGAGCCTGGAATCAGGGAGGGGAAGTGCCACTTCAGCTCCTGGAGAGACACGCCAGGAGGGTAAATTTGGTGTGAGCAGACAAATATAGAAACGTAATTGCTTTGAATGGTAAAGGTTTAAGTCTGCTTTAATTGCAGCCAGCAGGAAGGGGAAGGACCCTCTACCCCCAGCTCCAGGGGTCCTGTGTCCCTCTTGGTCCTGCTAATGGAGTGTTTTTCCCTCAGAACTGTCCCACACTCTGCTCACCCCAGTGCAGTTAAATGCAGCTTCAGTTTTCACTTGTGGTGGATTCCCATGCAAAATTCTCCGTGTAAATACGACCAAACCCAGTGTTGTGTTCGCTTTGACACACAGCATTCTGAGAAGTACTGGGGAATGAAATCAGAAAGAGGCTCAGAGAGAGAGCCATGGGCCAGGTCCTGAAGTGAAAGGATGTGATCCAGGGTGTCCCACAGAGTTCACCCACAGCACACAGTTCATATCCAACAGCTGCAGTTATCTAACAAGTAACAGAGGCCACTACTGATTCTGCACCACAGTAAATTAGGAATAACTCCGCTAAAAAAAGCAGCATTACACAATCATCAAACACTCATGGAAAAGGAATTAAGCTGAGGGACGCTAATTGGATGTGCTAATTCTGTCCTGAGCAGGGTGAGCCCTCAGTGCAGCCCTGGGCCAGCCCAGCCTGTGCTGGGCCAGGTGAGCTGGGCTGGGTGGGCACTGTGCAGTGCCCTGTGCTGTGACACCCGTGCAGCAGGACGGGACAGGACAGGATGGGGCAGGACAGGACAGGACAGGACAGGACAGGACGGGCTGGGCAGCTTTCAGAGCAAAATCCACTCTGCATATTTTCCTGGGGAGCAGCGGCACAGCCTCCCCACCCATCCCAGCTGCTCCCACACCCACGGGACACTGGTCACTGCTCTCTCAGGGCTTTATTGCCCGCGCTGGGCTGCCCGGGCTAGGGCTTGGGGTGGTGGCAGGATCTCCACTTGCGGGTGTCCGCGCTCCGCAGCCGCAGCCGCCGCCCGTGCCCCGCGCCCTGCTGGAAGCGGAAGCCGCAGAAGGCTTTCTGCGCCGTGCAGAACGGGGCCAGCGAGTTGGGCCACCCGGGCTGGTAGAACTCGAAGTGGAAGGAGCTCAGGGGACGGTCCCCAGCGTGGACAACGACCGGCACCAGGCGGGAGCCCAGGGCAGCGGCTGGGGGCGGCCGGCTCCTTGGTCTGGGGGGCGGCTGGGCGATCTCCGGCTCTGCTTTGGCCTCCTCCATCCCCTCGGCTCTCTTTGCCCGGGCCTTCTGGTGTTTTAGCTGCCTGTGGAGGAAAAGATCCAGAGAAATGCGTGGCAGTTGCCCCCTGCCCTCGCCACCCCCAGCAGGAGAGCCTGGGGACTCCTGCAAGGGCTGGAGGGCAGTGTGGGTGCTGAGAGCCAGGGCTTGCACAGCCCCAGCCAAAATCTGAGCTGGTGCTGCCTAAAGAGAAGGGGGACTCCTGCAAGGGAGTCAGGGTGGGTGCTGAGAGCCAGGGCTTGCACAGCCCCAGCCAAAATCTGAGCTGGTGCTGCCTAAAGAGAAGGACTGTAAACTGAAATGATGCTCTGGAAATAGGGAGTCAGGGCAGGAGGGCAGTGTGGGTGCTGAGAGCCAGGGCTTGCACAGCCCCAGCCAAAATCTGAGCTGGTGCTGCCTAAAGAGAAAGGGACTGTAAACTGAAATGGTGCTCTGGAAATATGGAAGTGACTTTAAACAAATGCTGAGCGAATAGGAATGATGACACAAAGGGCTGGATTGTCTCTTGACCCTCAGTTGCAGCAGGGATAAATGCAGCAGCACACGCTCCTGCTGAAGCTGTCGCCAGGCACAGCCATGGCAAGGCTGCCTCGGGAAGGGCTGCACACAGTCTGAGCCCAGAGCACGCAGCAGTGGGGGCAGAACTGATGCTGTCCTTCGGGGCAGCAGCTCTGGGTGCCTCTGCAGGGACCCCACAGCTCCAGGTGATGCAGGAGGAGCTGAGCCTGCCCTGCCCTGGGCATTGCTCTGTCACTTCCAGGTGGGTTTCCCCAGAAATGGGAGGCATGCCTGCCCACCCGGGGCACAAGGAGCATGAAAGAGCCCTGAGCTTTCAGGAGCCCTCTGCAGAGGAGGGGAGGGCGAGCCCCAGGACACACAGGGTGAGCTGTGAGCAGGGCTGTGCTTGGCTGCAGAGATTTCTGCTACTGTTACCTCAGCATGACTCAAGTTATCTCGTTTTCATTGACGACACCTCTGTGCAAATGGAAACTGCCTCTTCCCTCAGCAATTAGCCACCCTGCTCCTGCCTGTCCCAAAGCAATGCTTTGCTTATTTTTAACCTTGCAAAGAGGTTTCCTGCTTTCCGTGACGTGCTTGGTGCTATTTCTGTTCCCCGGCTCCTAAACCCATTAAGAAGGGGAATGCCTGCAAATTGTTCAGAGATCTCCTTAGAGCCTTCGAGGGGAATCACCAGATCCCTGCAGGTTCAGCACCTCTTTTTGTCACTCACTTCTCCGGGGCAGAAGCCCAGTGCCTGGAAGGCTGGACCTCAGCTCACAGGGGTTATTCCAGCAGTTGCTGCCACAAGGAAACCTCAGTCCATTTTCCCCGGGGGATAACACAAGGGGATTTTGACTCCTGAAAAGCAGCTTTCACACCACCACAGCCATTTCAGGGAGGCCTGTGCACCCCTGTTCTGGGCTGAGCTTGCTCAGAAGCTGCTGCTTTCACACCAGCTCCTGGCCATGGGCACTTGGGAAGGGACAAGGACACTGGGGGATCCAGTGCCCTCCCCCCACAATTTGGGGGGTCCAGTGCCCACCTCGGGGAGTCCAGCCACCTCCCCCCCACACACTTTGGGGGGTCAAGTGCCCACCTTGGGGGGTCCAGCCACCCCCCCACAAACCTTGGGGGGTCAAGTGTCCAACTTGGGGGTCCAGTCACCCCCAATTTGGGGGGCCCAGTGCCCACCTTGGGGGTCCAGCCACCCCCCACACACCTTGGGGGGTTAAGTGCCCACCTTGGGGGTCCAGCCACCCCCAATTTGGGGGGCCCACTGTCCACCTTGGGGGGTCCAGCCCCCCCAGTGTGGAGTCCAGTGCCCATTTTGAGGGTCCAGCCCCCCCTCCTTAGGAGGTCCACTGCCCAGCTGAGGAGTCCAGCCCCCCTCCCCCAGGGCATCCAGTGCCCACCTTGGGGTCCAGCCCCAATTTTGGGGGTCCACCCCCCACTCAGGAGCGGCAGCACCCAATGAGAGGGCGGTGGGGGAAGGGACAGGGGGCTGCTGCCTGTGCCCCCCCGCAGCAGCAGCACTGCAGTCACGGCCCTGGGCAGGGAGGGGAGGCTGCAGCTGCCTTGGCAGCCCGATTGCTAAGTCATGCAGGGCTGCAGCCTGAGCTCTGAGCTCTGCCTCTGCCTCTGCTCCTGCCCCGGGGCTCCTGCCCCTCCTCTGGGGCACCTGGAGCTCTGCAGGAACCTCCTCCCTCCCCGCCTGTGTGATCCCTGCCTGCGAGGGGAAGCACCAGCTTAAGGTGCTGTTTATGGCTCCGTGCCCGAATGAAGAGTGCCACTAATCCTACTGCCCCCGTTCCTGTGCCCAGAGATCCCTAATCCCTCCCAAACCGCCTGGTGCCCTCACAGCAAATCCCCCAGGCGGGTCCCAGGGAAAGGCTGGCCCAGGAATCGGGGAGGCAGGAAGGTTTCAGAGGTGCTCCCTGGGGAGGAGCTCCCTGGGCAGCTGCCAGAGCCCGGCCACCAGTGCTGGCAACCTTGGAGCCATCCTTGAGCCATCCCTGAGCCACCGAGAGCCATCCCTGGGCCATCCCTGGGCCATCCCTGAGCCATCCCTGGGCCATCCAGAGCCATCCAGCGCCATCTCTGAGCCATCCAGAGCCATCCAGCGCCATCTCTGAGCCATCCAGAGCCATCCAGCGCCATCTCTGAGCCATCCAGAGCCATCCCAGAGCCACCCAGAGCCATCCAGAGCCATCCCAGAGCCACCCAGAGCCATCCAGAGCCATCCCTGAGCCACCCCTGACCCACCCAGAGCCATCCAGAGCCATCCCTGAGCCATCCAGAGCCACCCCTGAGCTATCCCAGAGCCACCCAGAGCCACCCTGAGCCATCCCTGGGCCATCCAGAGCCATCCAGAGCCATTCCAAAGCCACCCAGAGCCATCCCTGAGCCATCCCTGGGCCATCCAGAGCCATCCAGAGCCATTCCAAAGCCACCCAGAGCCATCCCTGAGCCATCCCTGGGCCATCCAGAGCCATCCCTGACCATCCCAGAGCCCACCCAGAGCAGCAGGAGTGCTTTGCAGGCACAGCTGCTGCTTTGCCCAGCAGGGATGGGATGAAGCATCCCACTGGCATCACTGTGTCCCTGTCACCCTGGTCACCCCCA